TGCAAGGCCAGCACCTTGCCCTCTGTTCTCTCAAACCCGATGATATACACTAAAAAATATACGGGACTGTTGGTTTTTTTTAAGGGATGTTATCAAGCGAAATGTTCAACTAGAGGCAGTGTGTGATCTGCTTGAAAGAAGACATCTATGGAGGGTAATACACCAGCCAGTGACTTTTAAAGGCAAGATGATAAATGATTTTTTTTTGTTGTTGTTTTGGGTTTTTTTGACATGGTCGACCCGAGTTCGATTCCTCCGCCCCTCTCGGAGAGCCCGGCAAGCTACCGAGAGTATCTCGCCCACACGGCAAGGCCTGGCAAGCTCCCCGTGACGTATTCGATATGCCAAACACAGTAACAACAAAGTCTCCAATGGAGACGTTACTGGGCCCGCTCGAGCAAATCGACGATCAACGGGAGGGCCTTTACTTTTTTTTTTTTTTTTTTTTTGCTTTTTGGGTCACACCCAGCGATGCACAGGGGTTACTCCTGGTTCTGCACTCAGGAGTTACTCCTGGCAGTGCTCGGGGGACAATATGGGATGCTGGGAATCGAACCTGGGTTGGCTATGTGCAAGGCAGACGTCCTACCTGCTGTGCTATCGCTCCAGCCCCAGGATGGTAAATGATTTTAAACTACATTTCTACATCTACATTTCTGGTGTTTGCTTTTTATTTATTTATTAATTTATTTATTTTTAGCAAACAACTACTCCTGGTAGCAAAAATATTCTGAATTTTTTTTTTTAAACAACCACCACTAAACATTTAGATTCCTGAACCCTCGACACTGATAAGATTACTACTGCAGGACAGCCAGTAGCCGTCCAACTCCAATAAAACTTGGAAGAGTCAAGATTTTCGACCGCAGTCAGCAACTGAAACAGAAACAAGCCCAGAAGGAAAACAGAATCTTCGCCTACAACAACATCAGCAGCGGCCACAGAAGTTCTGGGGATGGGAGTGTTCCTTCTGGCTTGGAACTCGCTCTATTTGTTTCCATCATCGGCGGAGATTATTATTCCCTTTTGCCATCTTGCTCATAAAGGCTCCTCCTACCACTCAGCTTCTCCCCTGGGGCCAGGGCAAGTGGCTGGCTGGCGTAAAATCAATGCAGGAAGTGTACGTGAGCCAACAAAGCCCTGTGCAGCATATGGAAGGCAAGTCTTGACCACAGAAACCAAGAAACCCGGGCCTCGCACAGAGATTCACGCCGACCCTCACAGCGGCTATCTGCAGTGATGACATAATGACAGTAATGACATCTCAAACTTAAAACTTAACTACAATGCTAAAAATCACAGCAAAATTATTGGTTTTTCTCAACTTCCTCCCTATCCTGCTATTTGGTTTTACTTTTTTTTTGGGGGGGGGGGTGTCACACCCAGTAATGCTCAGGGGGGTTACTCCTACCCCCAATGCTTTTCTTTTTTTTTTTTTTTTTTTTTTTTTTTTTTGCTTTTTGGGCTACACCCGGCAATGCACAGGGGTTACTTCTGGCTCTGCCCTCAGGAACTACCCTTGGCGGTGCTCAGAGGGTCATATGGGATGCTGGGAATCGAACCCGGGTTGGCCGCGTGCAAGGCAAACTCCCTACCCGCTGTGCTATTGCTTCAGCCCCTCTCCCTGCTTTTTTGATGGGATTTAAAAAAAAAATTAAAATTAAATCCAGTAAAATGTTTGGTGGCTAGGTGACCAATTTCAATCTAAAAGTGCTACTACAAATTATTATAAACATTAGTGAGTATTCCTAGTATAAATATTTACTCAGCCTCCCAGACAGCAGTCAGATTTTCTACACAATCCATGCTCTATTTAGCAAGCCCTGCTGCAATCAATTTCAAAGAGAAATACCACCCGCTATTTCTGGGTTTCACAGAGAGGAACCTCTTGGGAGGTGCTAGGAGGTTTAAGGTAAATTTCCATTCACTTGACAGGGACTGAACTCTCAATATAAGCCGAATATTTTGGGTAAATTCTGGTTACCGAAGATGGAGGAGAAAAAGTTGGATCTAATACTAAAAAGCAGAATACACGATTTAAAATAGAAAAACTGCACATTTGACTTTATCACTGTTAAATAAAATTGGTAGCAGGGCATCTACTTTGACAACTTCATAGGAAGGAAGTTGAACAAGAAAGGAAGTTGAAAGAGAAAGAGAAAAGAGCATTAACAAGCCATAATATTGCGTGTATTTTTCCCCCTAAAGGGAGAGCCGAATGCCACAAACTCCACATGTATTTAAAGGTCAAGGTAAATCCTAAAATGTTCTGATCGGGTTTTAAATTTTCACAAAAATTCGAAGGGATAATCATAGTTCTCACAATCTCTCAGTCAGCACAGTTAGCTAAAGAACTTGCCTGTTCACAGTGGCAGCTTCCTCCTTTTTCACCTTAAACCTGGAATTTTACTGTGGATTGCCTGCAAATTGAACCAGTCTCTCTTGCTCCTTCAAATGTAGCTGTCATCTCGCTGGTAAATTTAGCCTCGGTGTCCAACAAAACAACTTTATCAGCAACTTTCTCCACCTCAGCACAGATTTTTGATTCTTGGAAATACAAAGGGGCCAAAAAAAAAAAAAAAAAAAGAACAGGAAGAAGAAACTAGCTAGGAGGGGCCTCAGAGAAACAGCTGAAAGGGAAAATTGAAGGCAATTTCCCCTTTCACTGGAGAGCCCGGCAAGCTACCGAGAGTATTCGATATGCCAGACACAGTAACAACAAAGTCTCCAATGGAGACGTTACTGGGCCCGCTCGAGCAAATCGACGATCAACGGGAGGGCCTTTACCTTTACCTTTACTGTAGGCAGTCAACAAACATTTCCAAGGATCTACTAAGTGCCTGGAACATTAAAGATGAAAAGGTAAAAGCCCTGAGCAGATGGAGGCAGAAATATGAGAAACTGCCACGTGGCTTTAACACACCCAAACAATGGGCCAGCTGATGCCCAGGCAGGAGGCTGGTTTCACCCTCAGCAGTTCCAACTGCCTTTGCCCTTGCAAAAATGATCAAAAAGGAAGACTAAGGCACCGGGTAAATACCTTGACTGCAAAGAAGAAGGAAAAACAAAAACAACAACAACAGCAGCAGCAGAATGAAAGAAACAAACTAAAACAAACAAACAAAGAGCCTCTTCTCATAAACCAGAGAATTAATCAAACAAGTCTTGGTTGAGAAACCACCCAAACTAGTCCTACACAACTGCACAAAGAACATGAGCAAGTTGGAAGGCACGAAAAACAGACTCTCTTTACCAGCCAAGCTCCAATGCAAACTGTAATAAAATGAGTCACGCCATTCACCTAAGTCAAATAAACTACTGGATCTAGTTTGACAAGAAACCTGTATTCTGAAAACCTAACTCAGAGGCTGATGTTAAGCACTATCACTGAAAAATACAAGCAAATACACATGCTCACAAATTTGATAGTTCCCTACAAGCCCCCCCCCCCCTTTTAATTAACCTAGACAGAATAAAGCTCAGTTACATGGGTCTCTGGAAAAGGGCATAGGCCTTTTCCTCCAAACATTATATACCCGTGACCAGCTTTCTGACTCAAAACATATTAGCATCTCCCATGCACTTGTAAAATCATCACCCAACTGCGGACACAATGAAATTTATGCTCCAATCTTCAGTTTAAAATCTACCCATCTAAAGGTGTAATTCAGCAGCCAAGTGCTTGTCTTGCCCGGTCAGATCCCCAGCACCACACAAAAACAGTTCAAAATTGAGACAATATGAGGATCTGTGTACCTAAATAAATGTACATGGATAATGTACCTTCTGTGCTTGGAATTAACTATCTATTGCCACATTGTTTACCATCTAACAACATAAATGCTCACATAATAAGTCAGATTAATGTTGAGAAGTGGGGAGAAATGGAAGGTTGGAAGGCTCCAAAGGGAATTCTTAAAATTTAAAAAAGAGAGAGAGAGAGAGAGAGAGAGAGAGAGAGAGAGAGCCCGCTCAAAGTTTGGCTTAGCACATGCTTTGGATCCTGGTTGGATCCTAAGAGGGCTTGGTCCCTGCAACAGAGCCAGCAGTAGCTGGGTGTGGCAATAAATAAATAAATAAATAAATAATTACCTTATCAAAAGTAAAGCACAAAATGCGATTCTGCTTAGGCAAAAACTCATATGCATGAAGATAAGTAAAAACAGAAGAAACTCATGCTTCAATTTTTTTTTTCCAAAAAAATCCTTATCCCCTCTCTCAATAAAACGGATTAAATGTTACTGGTAGGGTTTCCACCACCACCAACACCACCCCCACCCTTCCCATTTGTTTATCTCTAAAACCATGCCCCACGATCTACGTTTAGGATGACTGGCTTATCACCAGCAAGTATCTTCTGGGATGCCACAATCTCTATCTAAAGCCATGCTCGAGCCATGCCTCACTCCCATCACCCTTCCATCATCCAGGCAATTTCCCTTGAGCCCATATTCTCAGAAAGAAACGGTTCCAGATCTAAAGCAAGTAGACGAGGGCTGAATGTTGGGGGGTCTGGGGGTGAGGACGGGGGGGGGGGGGGGGGAAGGTGATCACGTTTTCAGTGGATGGGTAAAAATAAGTGGCTGACTATAAAAATCTTCCTCCCCACCCTGCGCCCGGGGCCAAATCTCAAACATACCCCCAGGCAGGGATTCCCCCCCACCCCACCCCGCGCGTTGGGCTCAGCATCTGTAATGCTCCCCGCGCGGGTGGACCGCGTCCCAGACCCCCACGCACCCCCCACCCCACCCCTGCTGCCCGGGAAGCGGGGAGAGCATCCCGGGAGAAGAACGGATGCCCGGTGCCCCCCGCGGGTCGGTTCCCCGCGTTTCAGGCCCGCGTTCCTCCCCCCACCGATCGCTCGGGACCACGGGTTCCCGGGCCGGCGACCGCGTCCATCCGTCCGTCCGTCTGTCCGTCCTCCGCTGCTGCCCCCCCTACCCCCTCGGCCCGGGCGCACCTGCCGCCCCCGCCGCCCCGCCGCGCCGCCCCGCGCTCACCTGGCTCGCCGCGGTCCATGGTCCCGCCGGCCCCGCCGCCCGCGCCCGCCGCGCTCCGCCGCCCGCACCCGCGCCCGCCGGCTCCGCCCGCGCGGCCCGCCCGGCCCCCCGCGCCGCCCGGGGCGTCACCCAACCACCTGACCCGGCCGACCGGTGCGCTCCGCCACGTCGGCGCGGCCAGGAAGTGGCGGTCCCTTGGGCGCCGTGCGTCGCCGCGGGGTCCCGAGAGGAGCAGCCCGGGGTGAGGGGTGCCCCGGGGCGCGGCCCCTCTGCGCCCCTGGCCACGCCCGGGGGACGGGGGAGGGGAGGGATGTGCAGACGACACGGCCCCCGGCCCCTCCCGCGCCTTCTCGCCTCCTGCCCCCCGCACGACCCCCTGCGGGATCTGCAGTATCTGGGTCACGGGCAAAAAATAATAATAATAATAATAATAATAATAATAAACCAGAAATACACAGCGAAATAACAAAGCGGAGATGGCAGGGAATCGCACGGTGAAACCAGCAAAAGGCCGCCCTGGTCCGGGCAGATTAGGCAGTTTCATGGGGGAAAAAAAAAAAAAAGGCAGAGGAGTGCCCCCCCCTCTCTCACCCCGCTGCTGCTACAACGCGGTCCTCATCCAGTGAAAGATTTGAAGTGCAAGGAAATAAGTTCATCAAAAGGCACAGTTGTCACAGCCTTTTTTTAATGATTAATTTTGATTGAAAACACCGTGATTTACAAAATTGTTCATTAGTGGTTTCCAGCACTTAGAGAAGTCCAACACCACCGGTGTGACCTTCCCTCCACCAATGTCCCCAGATTCCCTCCTCAAAACGGCCTGTCCACTCACGAGGCTCTTCAGAAATATTTTTTTTTTAACTTCCCCTCCCTGCTTTTGGTTCTCATCAGCTGTGCTCAGGGCTTGCTCCTGGTTGTATTCAGGGATTCCTTGTTCCAGGATCAGACAACTGCCTTAACTCACTGTGTTATTTCTCTGGCCCCAGAAGTAACATTTCGAGGTTTCATGTTCATTCATCGATCAATTTAGAGTTTTAAGTTACTGTGCTAATATCTTTTGTATTGGTTTTATCCTGGGTTCCTCCTGGCTCAGTGCTCTTGAGTTCTCACAGTGGTACTCCCGGGACATGCTGGGAGGGAATGGGACCACCAGCATGGAAATCATGCAGTCAGCCCATTGAGCTATATGTCTCCAGCCCAAAGTTTTTAATTCGTCGTGGTCCACTCTTTCTTCAATGTATTTTGCTCATCCTCATCCAAAGCCCCATTGATTATTATCACCCTAAAAGGTATGAGCTGTCACATTTCATAGCCATCTGAGCCTGCAAATGAAACAAGGTGCTTTTTGTGTCTCCTGAAGATTGAAATTTGCCGAGTTCTACAGTAGCCTGTATTCACTAAGCTTCTATCAATGGTTGGTTTGTTACCTGTGTGCTAATCTAACCCAGGCGAGGGAGGCATGTGCTCTACTGCTCAATCATCCCACCAAATGAGGCTTTAGATGACCGGAAGCTGGGCGGGAGAGATAGAACGGGGGTTAAGGCGTTTGCCTTGCATGTGGTTGACCCAGTTCAATCCCCAACACCTCCTATGGTCCCCTGAGCATACCCAGGAGTGATTAACTGAGCACAGAGCCAGGAGTAAACCCTGAGAATCCCAGATACAACCTTTAAACCCCAAAATTTTTCATTAACAAAATCTGACAAACCCCATGTTTTCTATCTCTATTCCACTGCATGTTATGTAAATGTAGCTCCTTCCCACCTGCAATCTCCAGGTCTTCTCTGTGAAGTTTATGCCATTTACCCCAGTAAGATGGCATTGTTCATCCTCTTGCAGTTCTCCTAGCTCCTCTCCTACTGCAACCACCCTTGGCTCTCATCACCCCAAGCAGCATCCTCCAGCTACAGGCATATTATTCACAGCTGTTAGGTAGCTCCCCTCCGTGAGGGGAGTTTTGGCCGTCTTTTCAGAACTCTTTAGTCACATCATCACTTATTTAATATTTTAAGTTTTGCTTTCAGATAGTTACATTTTAAAATGCAGTATACTACAGCTACTTACAGTCTGGTGTTTGTAACGAAAAGACGTAATGAGGCCTAAGAGATAGCACAATGGGTAAGGCGCTTGCCATGCATGTGACCAACCTGGGTTCCATCCCCAGCACAATATATAGTCCCCTGAGCACTATCAGGAGTGATCCCTGAGCACAGGGCTAGGAGTACGTCAGTGGGTCTGGTCCCAAAACCAAAAAGAAAAGACAGAATGGTAGTAAGTTCTCCAAGGTGGCAAAGAAATTCTGATCAGCTCTTGCTTAAATATATGGGGTCACCTGGAAGAGTTTCTCAATGTATGGGCTCATTAATAAATAACGCTTGAGAATAAATGTTGGTTTAAAATATTAAGTCTACTATACTTGCTGTATTTTTTAGCTTGTTTTAGAATGATGAATTTGATTGTTATAGATTTTGGATGGGGAAAATGCCTTGTAATTTTTTTTTAGCGTTTCTATGCTTGTCCACTTCTGTGGTAGAGATGGCTGATTGCGTAGCCAATATCTAGCTTTCCTATTTCTTTCCTAAACGATGCCAAGTATTGCTCGGGGTAAAACTGGATCTAGCTGAGTCCCTCACAGCTGGTGGTAGCTCTCTGACACATTAAAGACAAATGAGATAAGAGCAAGGTTGGCTAGTTGGAACCTCCAAGCGATCCTTAAAAAAAATAAAAAGAAATGAAAAACTTAGCAACACAATTTCACTTTCTCCCTTCCTGTTTCTGTCTAGAGCAACAGTCATCCTCTGGCAGCCTGGAGAAGAAAGCCACCAGTCCCCCAGGCAGGGCAGAGAGGCAGATAGACCTGGGTCTTCACTATCTCACTTTTTAAGCCTCAGTAGTTGACTTCCTGTTACCAATTGTAATTGATATAACAAGGTTCACTCTGGAAGATGCTAGATTAACTTTGCAAATAATAACAGGGATTTCTTTTAAGGTTATATATTTTTTAATTTTTATTAGTGAAACACCATGAGGTACAATTGTAGACTTACAAATTCTTGTGCTTGGGTTTCGGTTATACAATGATCGAGTACCCATCCCTCCACCAGTGCCCATTCTCTATCATTTACATTTTTTTTTAAATTTTTGTTAGTGAAACACCATGAGGTACAGTTGTAGACTTACAAATTTTTGTGCTTGGGTTTCAGTTATACAATGATCGAGTACTCATCCCTCCACCAGTGCCCATCCTCCACCACCACGGGTCCCAGCATCCCTCCCACCCCTCATCCCCCCATCCCACCCTGCCTCTGTGGCAGGGTATTCCCTTTTGTTCTCTCTCTCCTTTTGGGTGTTGTGGTTTGCAAAAGAGGCATTGAGGGCAATCATGTTTGGTCTGTAGCCTACTTTCAGCATGCTTCTCCCATCCTGGAGGCCAACACGCTTTATTTGGTGCTCCTTTTTCTATCTGAGCTCCCTTTTCCCCTAGAGTGTGTGGCTGGCCTCCAAGCCATGGGGCAAATCTCCTGGTACTAATCTCGGTCACTCTTTTCTTTTACCAAATACCCATGAGCTGGTGATCACTCATCTCATGAAGAACTCTCTGCCGGGAAAAGCGTGTGAATTTTCTAAGTCCTCTTTGGTCTCCAGTTTGGTCTGGTGTGTGCCTCAAACTGGAACGCTGAGCCCCAGGACTCGTTTCTGTACCGCCTTCCCCATCAAGCATCCTTTAGCCAGACACTGTGTTTGTGTTGCCCTTAAAATAATAATGCTGGGGGGACCGGAGCGATAGTACAGCGGGTAGGGCATTTGCCTTGCACATGGCCGACCCGGGTTCGATCCCTGGCATCCCATATGGTCCCCCAAGCACCACCAGGAGTAATTCCTGAGTGCAGAGCCAGGAGTGACCCCTGAGCATCGCAGGATGTGACCCAAAAGGCAAAAATAATAATAATAAAAATGATACTGGGGGAAGTCCTGATTAATCTTAAGTCAGGACAGACTAAGTGGGAAATTTTGAGTTGCAGGTATGATCTACACAGAGGAGGTGAATGGCTATGTCCACTGGGGACCAAAAATGCCTTACCCCAAGAAGAGGTTCTGCTGGTCATTCTCTAAAATCAGGCTCCAGAGGGGATGGGGTGAGGGTGGTAGGAGGGCTACTGAGGTCATTGGTGGTGGAGAATGGGCACTGGTGGAGGGATGGGTACTCGATCAGTGTATGACTGAAACATAATTGTGAAAGTTTGTAAGTCTGTAACTGTACCTCAGGTGATTCATTAAAAATAAAAATAAATAATAAATAAATAAAATTTAAAAATAAATAAAATAACATAAAATCAGGCTCCACTACAGGGGCCCCCGGTAGCTTTGCTCTAGGGTTGTGTGATGTGATTCAGGACTCTCGGTTCAACTTGGATTTCAGATAAACTAGAAATAACTTTTCAGTAAATAGACCCCTTTGTAATATTTGTGACAGATTCATACCACGAAAGTAACTTTTGGTTTAATCTAGAATTCTTAACAAGGGATCTACACTTAGCTTGCTACCTATATCTACAATACCTGTTTTGGGGTTTGATTTGGTTTGGCTTGGTTTGGTTTGGTGCCCATACCCAGTGGTGCTCAGGGACTATTCCCAATTCTGTGCTCAGGGACTGCTCCCAGCATGCTCAAGGGACCATGTGGTGCTGAGGACTGAACCAGGGTGAGCCATATGTAAGGCAAGTGCCTTAACCCCTGTACTATCTCCCTAACATAATTCTAAGTACAATTGGAGTTTCTTCATGAGTCAGATGTCAGTAAGAAGGCATATGGTGCCACAATTATTTAAAAAATTATCATGAGGGGCTGGAGCGATGATAATACAGCGGGTAGGGCATTTGCCTTACGTATGGCCGAACTGGGTTTGATTCCCACAGTCCCATATGGTTCCCCAAGCACTGCCAGGAGTAATTCCTGAGTGCATGAGCCAGGAGTAACCCCTGTGCAACACCGGGTGTGACCCAAAAAGAAAAAAAAAATTATCTTGAGCTGAAAGTCTTTTGCTCTTTCTATGTCTATCTATCTCTTTATATAAAGTTAAAAGGTAA